CACACACACACACAGACACACACATACTCACACACACACACACACACACACACACACTCACTCTCACACACACACAGACAGACACACACACTCACTCTCACACACAGACAGACAGACACACTCACTCTCACACACACAGACACACTCACACTCACACACAGACAGACACACTCACACACACACACACACTCACTCACTCACTCACTCACACACACAGACAGACACAGTCACACACTCACTCACTCTCACACACAGACAGACAGACACTCACTCTCACACACACACACACACACACTCACTCTCTCTCACACACAGACAGACACACACACTCTCACTCACACACACTCACTCACTCACTCACTCACACACACAGACAGACACAGTCACACACTCACTCACTCTCACACACAGACAGACAGACACTCACTCTCACACACACACACACACACACTCACTCTCTCTCACACACAGACAGACACACACACTCTCACTCACACACACTCACTCACTCACTCACTCACACACACAGACAGACACACTCACTCTCACACACACAGACACACACATTCACTCACTCTCACACACAGACAGACACACACACTCTCACACACTCACTCACTCACTCACACACACAGACAGACACACTCACACACTCACTCACTCTCACATATTGGACATGGTTCGCATGTAATCAGTATATCATCACAGGTTGTGTATATTCTGTGCGGGTTTACCGGGCTGACGGGCGGCGGGACGCTGATGATGTTCGTCTCAGAGTTTCCTTTCGCTTCTTCATTCTCCGGCGTAAATGTCACTGTCTTCGTTTTTCTCCCGGTCTGTGGCGTTTTGTTCCCGTTTAATTTCGCTCGTTTCGTCTTGATTTGTGCTGGTCGCTCCGCTGCACGTTTCCCCCCGCGCGCCGCCATCTTTCTCTGCCACGTCACCGGAAGCGGAAACGCTCTCATCAAACAAGCAAGTGATACACCGAAGGGATATGAAACAATAAACTCACAGTTTAATAAAGATACAGTAGAAGAAATGAACGAGGATGATGACGAAGACGAAGAAGAAACGAGGGAGAGAGAGGACGATGATGGTGATGATGAAGGGTTTTCAGTGCTGTCGGAGCTACCCGTAGAGAAGAGCGAGAGACGCCCGACCTGCCGCCGATGCTGGTACACACACACACACACACTCACTCACTTACTCACTCACACACACACAGACACAGACACTCACACACACACACACACACACACAGACACACACGCACACTCACACACACACACACACACGCACACTCACTCACACTCACACACACGCTCACTCACTCACTCACTCTCACACACACGCTTACTCACTCACACACACACAGACACAGACACTCACACACACACACACACACACACAGACACACACGCACACTCACACACACACACACACACGCACACTCACTCACACTCACACACACGCTCACTCACTCACTCACTCTCACACACACGCTTACTCACTCACACACACACAGACACAGACACTCACACACACACACACACACACACAGACACACACGCACACTCACACACACACACACACACGCACACTCACTCACACTCACACACACGCTCACTCACTCACTCACTCTCACACACACGCTTACTCACTCACACACACACAGACACAGACACTCACACACACACACACACACACACAGACACACACGCACACTCACACACACACACACACACGCACACTCACTCACACTCACACACACGCTCACTCACTCACTCACTCTCACACACACACACACACACTCTCTCTCTCTCACACACACACACAAATCGAAAGCGAGAAACTGTAATAACAGCAGCATAAACAGATTTGACCAGTTTCACTGCGGTGTGTGTTTGTGTTTGCATTGAACTGAAGTGAGTTTAATCATTTAAATGCGAGATTCACTGTTGAAATTGCAATGATTCACATTGATCACATCCAGAATCAGATCTTCTCCGTGTGTCCGATGCCTCGCTGAACGGTGTGTTTTGTGTCTCGGCAGTCGTCCGCTGAAGGTGTGTCTGTGTCCGTATCTCCCGCCGTGTCCTCTAGACGTCTCCACGTGTCTCTACATCGTGCAGCATCCGGCTGAGGTTTGTGTCCGATCATCTCAAAGCTGCGTGCTGCGTTCCTGCCGCCGTCAGATAACTGAGTTTTCTTCTTTCTGCAGGAGAGTCGGGTTCTGCGCACGGTTCCGCTCCTGGCAGCGTGTCTCCCGCCGGGAAAGTGCCGTGTTTTCATCGGGAGGCGTTTCTCTGAAGAGAGGTGAGTGACGTGAGCGCGTGGTGAAGCGTCTGCGTGTGTTGCCATGGCCTTCACGGTGTAAAGATGCTCACACGCTGCTGCTGTATCCCGGAGCCGCTGCAGAGAATCTGGAGGATCTGAGCACTGATTTCACCTCGACGGCCCACAGCGTGATCCTGATCGACGGCACCTGGAGTCAGGCTAAAGACATGTTCCTGAGGAACGCACTGCTGCAGCTGCCCAGACAGGTGCGTGCACTGAAGCAGCTCTGAGATCTGTCATACAGTAATATTTAGGCAGTGTTGTGCTGATGGTTTTCCGCAGGTGCAGCTCCGCAGCGCCCCCTCCAGTCAGTACGTGATCCGCACGCAGCCCACCAACATGTGTGTGTCGACGCTGGAGTGTGCAGCCGCTGCGCTCTCCATCATGGAGAAGAACCACAGCATTCAGGAGGTCGGTGTTCAGAACAGGGTTATGAGTCTGTGTGATGGATCTGATGCTGATGAGCCCTTGGTGTCTCCCGTAGGTTCTTCTCAAACCTCTTCAGGCTCTGTGCTCCTTCCAGCTGCAACACGGCGCTCAGATCCACCACAGCAAAGAGCATCTCATCAAAAACGGACAGTACAACAAGATCATGCCCAAAAACAAGCGCAAGATTCGCCGGATGCAGAAACTCCTCGCCAACCAGAATATATGAGACGACAGCATATTTTTCAGATTCTTCTGCAGCACTGAGATTCAGTCTTTTGTAGTTTTACAAATTCAGAGCAATCTTGACATGAGCCTTCTGTGTGGATGAAGCTTCATCTGTTCGTTCTATTGTAATGTGTTTATTTGAATGACTGATTTTATTCTTGTTTGCTGAATTAAAGCGATTGATGTGTGACTGTTTTGCGCCCTCTGGTGTCTGAATACTGCAACGTCGCTGAGAAACTAACCGAATAACATCCGAGAGTTAAACAGCCAATCAGCTCGCGACTCTGAGCGCCTCTAGCTGCGCTTGGCCAATCAAATGAGGGCAAATACATTTAAGGCGGAATCGACGCTTCTGATTGGCTTTCCAGCGTAATGACATCGTGCTTAAAAGATATCAACACGCGATGAAACACTAGAATCACCTTCATCGACACGGTACATGATCATATTTACTATTACTTATGTGTTCTCGGTTTGATCAGCTGTTTGTGATTTTAGATGCTTTCTGATCATTTGTAAATCGCTTAAGAATAATTTTTGAGTGCATTTAAAGTGATTTTATATAGTTTGCACTCAGCTAGACGGTTATTGCATTAATAATCATTTATGCTATAATGTACGTGTTCATAAATTACGAAGTTTATTATGTTAATAACATGGTAATTGCTGTTGTTACGGCTGTCCTTCAGATGTTTTCACGCGTCAGTTCCGCGGAGCTGCAGCAGACTCTCGGATCGCTTCACAGTCTGAATGAATCGCAGTGGAGCATCGCGAAGAAATCAGTCAGTTCGGTTCAAATGAGTCGACTCAGTCCCGTTTAGACGGAATCGTTTCTAACAGCTGTAATCTCGTCGGTTCTTTGGCTCTTTCAGAAGGATGTGACCGTCTGGAGGAGACCTTCGCAGGAGTTCAGCGGCTTTCTGTGAGTTTAAAACCGCTCTAAACCAGGCTAGTTAGTAAAGCACAAACTACTTAAACTAGTCTTTAAAGTTAGTTATCTAATTTTCTCTTAAAGGTTGGTCATAAATTTTTAAATTATAGTAGGTTGGTCTAATTTGAATGTGAGAAGTGAGACTAATTTCCACTTGCTGACTGCTAGTTAGTCAAACTAGTTCTTAAAGGCAGTCTTATCATTGTGTTCCCTGCAGATATAAAGCTGAAGGAAGCGTAGCAGAGAATCCGCAGCGGATCATGGACCACATCCGGCCCGGGGCCTGCAGACTGGACTGGGACAGTATGATCACTTCACTGGAGATCCTGCAGACGCTAGACCAGGTGAACATCGTTAATGTGAATGTTCAGTGATCTAGAATCTCTGATTAGACCGACTGAAGTGTGTTTAGGGTTAAGCGTATTATAAAGTCTTCTCTGTCGCCTCTGGCTTGCTTAGTTGGGGACACTTCATTTCCAGCGATACCGTTGACTTGATTGCAAAGATACTATTTAAACTGAGCTGGATGTTGACATCACTGAATTCAATGATGAACTGTCTTTAACTGAAAAATTTGTGTTTACTATTGTCATTTTGCATTATTGACACTATTTTCCTAATTAATGCTGTTCAGTTGCTTTGACACAATCTGTATTGTTAAAAGCGCTATATAAATAAAGGTGACTTGACTTGACTTGACTTGACTCAGTCTGTGACACCAGCGTTGATGAGCACATGACAAAATAAAAACTGCTGTGTGTTGTTCAGGGCTGTTGTGTTGTGAGGTACACCACCGCAGGGCAGCTGTGGAACATCATCTCTCCGAGAGAGTTTGTGGATTTCTCCTGCACCAGCGAGTATCAGCGTGGCCTGCTGTCCTGCGGTCAGTCGCTCTCAAAACACCTCATTTGTTTTCTAGATCAGCTGTTTAGCTCGAGTGAAGCCACTGGAGGACCGATCACAACACATCTGGTTACCATCTGCTGCTGTGAGCTGGCGGATCTGGGGCCGGATCATTTAAGAAAGCCAATCTTAAGGGCCGGTCACACTTCATATTTCCTTCATTTGACTTCAGTTCATACGCAGCGAATGCAGCGCATGTGAATTTCACTGCGTTCCAAAGATCAAGTTTGCTGAACTCTGACCTGTGAAATGATATCGCATGAATCCACGTGACCTCGCAGCTGAATTAATGATTGGAGCGTCGCAGTAAAGTCAAGTAGATCACACACAGCTGCGTAGATTTACTTACAAACTGTAGTCCGTTACTGATTACTGGACGAAAGCTGTAGTCCGTAACGTAATCATCACATTACACATTTTAGGTAATAATTCATTAAATGATAAAAAATATAAAATTAAAATAAATCATTTTAAAATAACATCAATCAAAATATAAAAAATAAACATTGTATTTATTTACCTGCATGTCTTGTGACCGTGAACACGTGATTCTGAATAATTACAATATTTATATTAAATCTCAGGTACTTCAAGTAAATATATTAGCTGAAAGAAGTTCCCTGCATCACATGGAAGAAAGAAATAACATGAATGTGTGCATTAGAAAGACAAAACTGTTAAATAACTCCCGGAGCGATAGCTCAGATAAAGAGTGTTCATCAGTAGTTGATGCGGTGTTGAAATATTGAGAACACACTTCTTAAAGCTGAAAGTGTTTCTGTGAATCCAGAGCTCAGATGCTGTATAGTCACCTGAATAATGCTCTCTGTGTGAAACTGAAGACTTTCTGAATATATATAAGCGTAGGATAACTTAGAAAGGAACATTTAAAAGAGGAATTAGAGTGAATCAATAAATTATGAACAATGTATTGCTATTGTGTGATTAATATGTAATCAATAAAAAGTAACTGTAGTCTGATTACAAGTACTTAATTTTTGGAATCTGATGATGTAATCCAGACGAGTTACTCCGCAGCTCTGATAACGTATTTTTACATGTCTGGTGCATTGTGTGTAGACGGCGGAGAGCGTGACGTCAGATTAGGACGGTTGGCGTGTTGCGTGTGCAGTCTGTCACGTGTTGCGTGTGCTGGTGTTCTTCAGGTGTGAGCGTGGAGCATGACGAGCAGAGAGCAGGCCTGGTTCGAGGATGCAATCATCCGTGTGGCTGGTTCTGTGTGCCGGCGCAGGACTCGGAGCTCAGTGTGCTGACCGGATACATCCAGACGGAGCTGAGGGGAATGCTGCCGCAGCCGGCGGTGGACACAGCTATGGCCAGCGGTCTGCTCCACTTCTACAGTGACCTGAGACGAGCGCTGAACACTTAGTGTTTCATCTGACGAACTCTAACGAGCCGCCTCTGATGCTCCTCATATACAGGATTTTGTAAATAATCGTCACATTCATTTATTAGTGCACGTTTTGTTTTGTCTGTTTGTTTTTGGTTTAATGTGATTAAAACCAGTGTAATTGTTTTTCATAAAATGATGTAAAATTGTAAACATTGATATAGTATTTTTTTTTTTTTGTCTTATAAATTTCTCTTATTCTTTATCATTATTTCTCTCTCTTTGTAACTGTTGGACAGATTAATTTGTGTGTTTATTGTCCTCATATGCATGAAATATAAGTTACAGCATAAAGTAGGCGGGTTTTATTCTTATTAAATTAAGACAGTAGGAACAGGGTCTGTGCTTTAATGGCTGAAACTATTTGTCATAAATGTGACCCTGGAGCACAAAAGCAGTCTTAAGGGTCAATTTCTCGAAATTGAAATTTATGCATCATCTGAAAGCTGAATAAATAGCTTTCCATTGATGTATGGTTTGTTAGGATAGCACAATATTTGAAAATCTGGAATCTGAGGGTGCAAAAACATCTAAATATTGAGAAAATCATCTTTAAAGTTGTCCAAATGAAGTTCTTAGCAATACATATTACTAATCAAAAATTAAGTTTTGATTTATTTACGGTAGGAAATTTACTAAATATCTTCACGGAACATGATCTTTACTTAATATCCTAATGATTTTTGGCATAAAGAAAACATACAATGTATTTTTGGCTATTGCTACAAATATACCTCTGCTACTTATGACAGGTCTTGTGGTCCAGGGTCACAAATAGAATTGACACGATTTTAGTGTAAATACAAACAATATAGTGATTTTCCACCTTCAACCGATGTCCCTTTAAGTCGTTAATATGCGATGACGCGGAAGCCCCGCCCGCTGACGCAGCTGCGTTCGTGCGTGCGCGCGGCAGCGGAGAAGTTCGTGCGATGAGTGTGGATCCGGATCGCAGATGAGGTTCGGCTCTTCTGCCGCTTCTAACGCGCTCCGTGGGCGTGACTATGTGAGTCTGACAGCGGCTGACGCGAGTTCAGAGATCCGGTGATGCGATGCGGTTCGGTTCGGGTCTCCATGACAACAGAATCAGCGGAGTGAGTAACTTTAATAACACGCGAGACATCAAAGACAGATGATCGAGCTCGATCGGCCGTGTGTTCTGCTGCTGTCCGTGTGTTTGTCCTTTAAGATCCACTTACAGGAAAATCCTATTTCTGTTTCGCTTTGAATGTGAAGGGTTTTCCCCTCATCATCACGCGCGCGCGCGCGTGTGTGTGTGTGTGTGTGTGTGTGTGTGAGAGAGAGAGTGTGTGTGTGTGTGTGTGTGAGAGAGAGAGTGTGTGTGTGTGTGTGTGTGAGAGAGAGAGTGTGTGTGTGTGTGTGTGTGAGAGAGAGAGTGTGTGTGTGTGTGTGTGTGAGAGAGAGAGTGTGTGTGTGTGTGTGTGTGAGAGAGAGAGTGTGTGTGTGTGTGTGTGTGAGAGAGAGAGTGTGTGTGTGTGTGTGTGTGAGAGAGAGAGTGTGTGTGTGTGTGTGTGTGAGAGAGAGAGTGTGTGTGTGTGTGTGTGTGAGAGAGAGAGTGTGTGTGTGTGTGTGTGTGAGAGAGAGAGTGTGTGTGTGTGTGTGTGTGAGAGAGAGAGTGTGTGTGTGTGTGTGTGTGAGAGAGAGAGTGTGTGTGTGTGTGTGTGTGAGAGAGAGAGTGTGTGTGTGTGTGTGTGTGAGAGAGAGAGTGTGTGTGTGTGTGTGTGTGAGAGAGAGAGTGTGTGTGTGTGTGTGTGTGAGAGAGAGAGTGTGTGTGTGTGTGTGTGTGAGAGAGAGAGTGTGTGTGTGTGTGTGTGTGAGAGAGAGAGTGTGTGTGTGTGTGTGTGTGAGAGAGAGAGTGTGTGTGTGTGTGTGTGTGAGAGAGAGAGTGTGTGTGTGTGTGTGTGTGAGTGTGAGTGTGTGTGTGTGTTTCTCGCGTTCGTTGTGAAGCTCTTCTTCTCGACTCTCTGACCGCTGAATGTTTCCAGCTTCACACATGACTGTGGTTTGACTGAAGTGTCATCAAACTCTCACACAGCAGCAGCAGCACTCCTCAGAGCTCCAGTTCAGCTGCAGTGTGACTGTAAGAGTCTGAATGCAGGAGGGTTTCAGATCGACCTGCTTCTGTTCACACTGGATGCGCTGGAGGTGAGTCGGTTTTCTGGCTTCAGCTCCATTATTCACAGCGCTGGATCAGCGGATTCTGGCGGTTTGGTTTGTTTTGTTTTGGTGGTTTCCAGAGCAGGAACGGCTCAGAAGTGTTTCTGGAGTTTGTGCAGTTACTTCTGTATCTCCACGAGCAGCTGTGTTCTTCTGCAGATAACAGCACTGAACGCCGCCTGATAACTCGCGCTGCTCTCGTCTGCGTCAGTGTGCCTCCGAGGGACCGCTTGTCATTTTCTTGAGATCAGAAAGTTAAGAAAAGTCCATGAGATTCGCCGTTTGACCCTCTTTCTGTTTAAGAACAATAGTAGGATGGGATTTCATACTTGCATTAATTGAATGCTTTCAGGAGGATTGCACCTCATTTCCTTGTCCTTCCTCTCTGCAGACTGTGTTTATAGCTGCGTGTCGTAAGTCCAGGATTACTTCATTTAGACACGCACAGACATGAACAAGTGGAGATGAATGACAAACAGCTGTGAAATCGAGATCACCTTTAGATCCACGTCTGAGCGCGGCTGATTTCAGAATCAAAGCTGCTCCAGCATCTGCTAGTCTTCATTATAACATGCAACACTGAATCAGATGAGCTTGTGAAATGACTCATTCGGATCAAATGGCGTTCACACATCAGAGCGAACGGAAACCTGCTCCGCTTGTTAACGAGGACAGGTTCTATCGTTCCTGAACCGCAGAAGAACTCGAGGTGATGAGAGAAGAACTGCTGAAGTGTGTTGCGGATCTGAACGAATCCCAGCGGCTCCACACGTTTGTTTTTAAGGGCTCATTTTTAAAATCAAATGGCCGTCTCCTGTTGGAATAACTAGTTTCAGTCTGCAGCTTTAATGGAAACTCATCATTAACTCTTCAGGAAAAACCCAAGAGAGCAGTGACTGTCGATCTCACACACACACACACAAATGATTAAATCAGGCTAACTTTAATATTATTCACATGCTCTGATATTTTCATTTCCTCTTTCTGATCAGTTTCGCCACAGAAGCTCAGGAGAGACACACACGAGTCTATGAATTTCCATACGCTCTGCTGTTGTGCCATCAACTATTTCAAGCCGTGGCTAAATAGCGAGCTGTAATTGGTCTCGTCTTCTTTTCCCACAGTTCAGGATTCTGGCAGTCATATAGCAGAGCGTTCTGTGTTTGTGGACTATAATAACTAACATCACTGAAGCAAGAAGCCGTCACCAGATGATTGTTCCTGATCAGATCAAATGGAGTCTGTTTTGTTATTGATGCTCAGTGTTGGCTGGTGTTTGTGTTCACAGTCGTTCATGTTCAAACATTATTTGGTGTATTTGGTGTAATGAAATGTGTTTATGCGGTTTAAGGTTCAAAAAACACATTATTTTCCACATACTGTACATTACTGTTTCTCCTCTATGCCCCGCCTTTCTGAAGCGCGGAGATTTTTACAAAGCTCATCGTTCTGAAAAGCGAGGTGTGCTCTGATTGGCCAGCTATCCAGTGCGTTATGATTGGCGCTTGTAACACTCCAAAGAGAAAGGAACAATTGAAATCGCATCATATGACCCCTTTAAGGCTGCTATTAAGTATTCCCCTTAATTATTTAAGTGTTCCCTTAAGTGTTGCTACAAAGTCCTTAGTAACCATTTCACCTTAATAAATGTAAGGGACCAAAAGAGCTCCCTAAAGTCATCTTAAGCTCAGTATCTGCAGGATTTTTAAACTCAAATGTAAGACTTTAGACATTTTTTAAGACCTGCACAAATAAAATAGCGCAGTAGGGCAATGACTATGGTAACATATTAAACTGTAAAATGACTGTAAAAAGCATGACTTACAGGTTTTCACAAAACAAAAAGTTTTATATACATTTTTAAGTAAATGGACCAGTTGTATCAATTATGATATCAATTTAAACAATTATTATTAATCAATTATTACATTAAATAATATAAATATAATTTTTGTCTTAATTGTTTAGATTTTTATAATGCATTATCTTGTCGATCCACCTGTTCACATTTACAACTCTGCGTGTTTGCAACGTCAAAACATGGGTTAATTTTCACATTTGGTAAATTTTCCATCATTGGTCAGCAGAAACAAAGCGGTTTCCTCAGTAAGGACTGTACACAAAGCAGCGCAGAAACAGGCAGCGCTCATGTTTATTTAATGTTTGTCTGTGTTTTAGTTGGTTAGGTTTATATTTCATTATGTTCTGTTTATTGTCATAGATATGTATACGTATCTTTTTATTGTGAGATGTAGTAACTATAGTAACCGTGAAACACTTAGTATAAACACTTGGGTAAGGGTGACAGTTAAGACGTTTGTTGCAGCGCTCCTAAAGAAATCCCTTACCGCAGGGATTTTGTCCCCCTCAGGGATACCCCTAAGTTAAATTACTTAAAGGGTTAGTTCACCCAAAAATGAAAATTAGGCTGTGTTTTACTCACCCCCGAGGCATCCTAGGTGTATATGGCTTTCTTCTTTCAGACGAATCCAGTCTGAGTTATATTAAAAATTGTCTTTGATTTTTCAAGCTGTTTCATGGCACTCAGCGGGTTTTGCATGCATCTGTCCAAAAGAAGTTAAATAAAAAGCGCCCATCCATAAAAAAAAGTGTCTCACACGGCTCCGGGGGGTGAACAAAGGCCTTCTGTAGCGAATCAATGCGTGTTTGTAAGAAAAATATCCATATTCAAAACTTAATAATTACTTTAATCTAGCTTGCGCTCACTGTTGTACACAGAAGCAGCTCCGGGCGGATGACGTATGAGTTCAGCGTTGCATGCGCCGCTCAGAAGTGACGAACGCGGAAGCACAGGCGAGAGATCAAAACAAAACAACGGTCACTTATTAGAAGCACAAAACGAGGATTTGTAAAGAAGAATGTCGGAGGATTTCGATATAAGCCAAGAGGAG